TGCTCCTCTAATGCTGCCTGGCCTGCTGTGTTCCTCCAGCTCTACACTGTTATCTCTGACTCCAGCATCTGCAGTTCTTGCTATCTCCATCTGCTGTGACGGGATGAGAGGTTCCCTTCTAATAATTACCCCCAAAACACCCAGAAAAGCTCATCTTTCCCCTCGTAATCTGTTAAAAGAATGGTTAAAAAGAAAGAAAATCCCTGATCTCCACTTTACAAATAACAAGAAACAATGTATTTGTTTAACCCTAACAATGAACAAATTAACAAATTAACAGTTACTAACAAATCAAATACTCCCCAGACTACCAACTGGTCTAAATTCTACTTGAATGCTGTTTAAATAAAAACAAATCCCACTAAAGTAAACCCAATTAATAAGAAGCAATAAATTATTACTTAATATCTCCAAGTTCACACAGTCATCTGGGATATTCTGTTATCTTCAGTCCCTTCACAAACACTTTTCTTCCATTAGTTCTGCTGTCAGGGATATTTTATCTCTGTAATTTCTTCAATGAGGACTTTGAGCTAAAATACCATGGCACCTTTGATTAATTAGATGGGCTTTCTCTGAGAGTTGAATGCTGCTAACTCTGGCAAGTAGCTCTGTCTATCCAAATACTCTCATCTCATATACCCGTGATGACATGATCATATGCTTATAATATGATTGGTTTCAGGTGGTCAACACTATCAGATTTAAATTCAAATGGCTTTCTGTATCCAGGTGCTTTGTTTAAATTAATTGGCCAAATTCAAACTTGTTGCCTTGGAAAAAGTGCTACTTGACTTTCCACTCGGGCACTCTCTGTGCACCTGCATTTATAAACTTGCAAGCACAGAAAAAGCACAAGCTCTTAAAGGGACCACGGCACTCCTTTCCCCACGATCGTTTTTACCAACAAATTCTAACTTTCTGCCTTCCAATTCATGAATGCTGTGCCCAACTTCATAACACAGTGAATAAGTGCAAACTTGAATGTAACATTACCCTCATAGATTAGAAGTGTTGACTTTGGATTAATATCAGTCTATATATCTATTGAATCCTGGATGTTACATTTAATGAAGTAGGAAAGGCTTTACTGAAGGTTTGAATAGCATTGGCTGGGGCTATTTTCCCTGAAGTGTCATAGGCTGAGGGGTAACCTTATATAGAGGCATGGATAGGGTGAATAGTCAAGGTCTTTTCCCCAGGGTAGGGGTGTCCAAAACTAGAGGGCATAAGTTTAAGGTGAAAGGGGAAAGATTTAAAAGGGACCTAAAGGGCAACTTTTTCACACAGGAGGTGGTGCTTGTATGGAATGAGCTGCCAGAGAAAGCGGTGGAGGCTGGTATAAGTACATGGCTGGTACATAAATAGGAAGGGCTTAGAGGGATATGGGCCAAATACTGGCA